TTACCTGAAACTCCTGTGAAAAATTGCGATACCGTCACTTAAACTTTCCGAGTCGATTCCGTAATCGGTGAGCGAACTGTGAGTTCCGTAATTTTTACTGAACATTTCTCTCTCCGTGTACATTCTATCCAACGCTCAGGATTATCAGACCCCCAGTCTAGCTTGATCATCTCAGTATCTTTTGCCCTTTCCGTCCTCCCCGCCCCCACAAACGAACTTGTCAGAGTTGGCCTGGTGTACTAACTACTGGCCTAAGCCCGTGTCTGGTCGTAGGAGCGTAAGAGCGAAACGTTGACATATATGTATCGAGCCAACGGGGGCTTGAGAGAGGCATTCAACTGTATAACGTGATCAAATAATAACCTTATACTAGTATCAAGCCTGGTCGTATGAAATCTGAATATCACTGCCTGTGGTTTAAAGCTGCTGACGGAATTTCGTTGTAATTCTCGTAATCAGAGTTTTCTGTACGAGATTATGCGTGGAATGAATCAACATTTACTATGTGCATTGACATTTCCGGTAGGTGAATTATTCGGAATTCAATCAGGTTTGTAATCGGAGAAATGACGCTGTTGAATCAGATAGAATGGTGATGTGGAATTTCTGTACTTCAACAGTATTTCTTTGGAGATTGATTAAATCGTGGAGTTATTTCAATGAATACGTGGGAATGTTTTAATGTAGTGAATAATTTATCAAGTCCGGTTAAATACTCTATTAGAACTCTATTAGAACCGAATAAACGATTTATTTGATTCAAATAAATTATTCACATTGTCAGAAAAAAATTGAAATTTCATGGACAGTCGACTTTTTGGAGAATGTTGAGGGGAGTGACTTTGAATTCAATTTAGGGAGGAAAAAACATCATGATATTTGAGATTTCATTGTAAATTCAATAATATTCCTAATTTTTTCAGCTGCACAAAAACCAAATTTCCTCAAAACATTAATACTCGCCACTAAATTCCGTAGAATTTTCAATTACTCGAAAATTCAAATTCAACTTTCACACAATAATTGAAACGAAATTGACAGTTCTCCTAGATTTTTCCACGAAATTCCAAATTTTCAATTTCAAAATTCCTTTGAAATTTCAGTGGCACTAAAATCTGACAAAAATTTACAAGAAGTGTACTGAAAATTTGAGCTCGTAATTATCACCAGTGCAGGAAACAAGCATTTTTTTCTCCAAATTCTGAATCTCCAAAGTCTTACAGCCCCTGCCACCCAAATTATCGACTGGGAATTTTGAGGGGAGTGCCTTTCAATTCAATTTAAGGAAGAAAAAAAATCATGGAATTTGAGATTTCACTGTAAATTCAATAACAATAACAATAATAATAATAATAATAATATTCCTAATTTTTTCAGCCACACAAAACCAAATTTCCTCAAAACATGAATATTCACCGCTAAATTCCGCAGAATTTCCAATTTCTCGAAAATTCAAATTTAATGTTCACGCAATAATTGAACCGAAATTGACAGTTCTCCTAGATTTTTCCACGAAATTCCAAATTTTCAATTTCAAAATTCCTTGAAATTTCAGTGGCCCTAAAATCCGATAAAAAATTTCCAAATGTACCGAAAATGTGAGCTGATAATTATCACCAGTGCAAGAAACAAACATCTTTTCCTCCAAATTCCGAATCTCCAATGTCTTGCAGCCCCTTCCACCCATATTATCCAATCCCCATCACGAAAGAACATAAAACGATGGACAACAAGAGCTTCCTGTGTACAACCTTGTGGATAAACCCCGGTCAGATGTATTGGTGAGTGTCGACAGGGTCATGCTCTCATCCGTGATCCGAGTGAATATTCACCGTTGCTTGATCAAAGCACCTTCGATCGGCACCCCTCCCCACCATCGTTCTATTCAGCATCCATTTCAGTTTGAAACTAAAACTTTTACTAGTACAACAATATTGTCAGAATGCCATCAAATCTTGAGCATATTTTATGCCATCAACTCGAGCCAAATGGCTCTGATGCAACACATGTTCCTTGAGCATGATCACCGTGAATCTATTGACCGAACGCCATTCCAGAAAATCGGTTAATTGATTTGGTAGTTTGCCACTGGCCTCCGGTGTGTAGTTGACATTGGTTACAGCGCAAATACACAGAGTCCTGGGGATCTGGTGGCAACACTTGACTTTGGACAGCTCCTTGTACCTCGCACCTGTCTCTCTCTCTCTCTCTCACTCCATTCAACCAATCACAGTGTGACATGTTCTGCGTATGCCTTTCATACCCGACCAATTTCACTGGCTATAGTCGCCTTCCCGTCCATCGATTGCTTTGACTCAGCTACCATTTTGACACTGATACTGCTGTGAAGCATAATGGAGGCGCCCACTCCACAAGCATAACTGGTGCAGCTAAACGCTGTCAGAATTGCTAGTTGTTGAGGACATTGTCCAATACCGGGATGAGTGCGTCGCTGTGGAGGTGTGTGTGGGGCGGCGAATGCTTGTCTTCTTGAATTATAGATGTGCCAGCTCTTTGCTTGGGGGAAGGCATCTTAAGCGAAAGCATCAAACGGAAAGGGAATATTCACGCACACGGAGAGACGCTTTTGATAAAAATTATCCTATCGTCCTATAAAAGTGTATCATGAGTCGTTTCCTCATTTCTATTCCAAAATTTAGTAGAAATTAATATATGATGATCACCTTTTATTCTACGTTAGAGAAATTTATCCTGACGCATAGTAGATTTTATCCTTCCAGTCCAATAATTTTTAGGTAGATAACAACGAAATTTGTAGAACGGTTGGTAAATTTTACACTACCGGTACAGTAATTTTTACTCTACCGGCACAGTAATTTTTATTTTTATGAGGATAAAATTTCTTCAATGTAGAATAAAATTTGATCATCATATATTAATTTTTACTAAATTTTGGGGTAGAAATGAGGAAACGATGACTCATGATACTTTTATAGAATGGTAGAATAATTTTTATAAAAAATTACTCTCCGTGTACACGGAGAAAATTATTTGGTGAATTTCAACAACTAGTTGGTAAAATTTAACAACTGTTCAATTAAAATTCAGAAAAAGATTTTTCAATTTCATTCGACTACCATTTGATAAATTTCCAATAAACGTTCGTCGATTTATTTGATGGATTAAATATAACAAGGAATTGTAGATTATGGCGAAAATATCTTCTAGGGGAGACAGTGATCGGTTGTCAAGATATAAATGATTGCGGGATTGCTTCCGAATGTATATATGTCCTCACCATATAGTTTGGTAGTCGAAATTGATTGAATGAAATTAATTATTTGTTAAATTTCCTCAACTAGTTGTTGAAATTCAACAACTGGTTGGTAATTAGTTTTTTCAACAAATAATTTTCTGTGTATTGCGGGCTAAATGGAAAAAGGTCGTATAAACCTAATCTAGGGAACATGAAATCTGGACGACGTGGGCTCTAGAGTCACTTCCATCCAACTTTTGAGGAAAAATTTTTTATTTGGCGCATATGACTTTTTCCACGAATTTTTCTCCAGTATAAATTTCTCTAAAAGTACAGTCGAATATCAAAAACATAGAGACAACAGTGACAATTTTTTTTTTCATTTTTCCACCATTGGAGCAATATTCGTGAAAAAAGGTCATATGCACAAAAAAAAAATTGCCCTCAAAAGTTGGGTCAAAATAATTCTGCAGAACCCAAATCGTCCTGATTTCGTGTTCCCTAGATTAGGTTTATACGACCTTTTTCCACTTCGTGGACATAAAAATCCCAACATGGTCAATACGACCTTTTTCCAGTTAGCACGCGGTATCTCCGTGAAAGATTACATTTTTCAATGTTCGCTATAAAAGTTGGCTTTTTTTTCCATTGATAGTATCAGACACATGGTGCACATTGATGGCGAGGCAAATGGAATATTTATAGCTTGTTTCTTTCCGCAGTATTATCATTTCACTCTCCTATTTTATGACCCTGATTAACATTTTCCACTGATGAATGAATTCTCACCGTTTTTGCCCGCTGTAATTTTCTCCCGGCAGTTTCGTGATTAACCGAATCGATTACGAGTCGATCTCCCGCTTCAACGATTCCTCGTCTCCCTCGTTTTCAAACAGGATGTTCGGGAAAAAAAGTAGAACGAGAGCCGGTGGAAGGAGCCTGTGCGAATAAAAACGCCGATCGCGCGGATTTAAATGAGAACGGAATTGGAACAGATGGAAGATTTTTATTTTTTATTTTTTTTTCCTCAAAGAGTTGGGGGTGTCGTGCGAATTAATTCGAGAGGGTGCGATTTATCGGCGGGGGCAAGTTGAATTGAGGAGATCAATTCACATTATTAAACGTTTTCTTGAAAGTTAACAGACAGTTTGATAATTCCCTGAAAAACTAGTTTCTTGAAGACTGAAATCTCCACTATCTTAACCCTAGTCTGGTCAGCAAACGCAACCCTGCGACTTTGGGCGCCTCCGCGGGGATTCTCCGGCGTGTTATTTAGGCTTCAGCGTTGCCGAATTCACTCTAGACTGCCCGGGCGCGTTTAGCGAGTTTCCGGCCACGTCGCGTCATGGGCAATTTCATTTACTATGGGAAAAAATAATTCATCTGTCGGAAATAATTTGTTTTCTTTAGGAATTTTGGGAAATATCTTGTTTTAAAAACAACTATAATTTTTTAGACACTTCAATTGACAAAGTCAATTTTTTTTTAATTTTTCCTGTTAACCAGTCAATTTGGAGGTCATTAATAATGTCTTCAAATACAAGACGAACGAATTATTTAGAAAAACAAAACATCACAACCTTGCAACAAGAGAGTTAATTTTCGCCACTAGTTACTCTAGTAAATAACTATTATAAAAAATTCTAACGCCAAAAAATTATTCCCATGTTTCAGAATCAGGATTACCCAGCTGAATTAATCGGCAATTTCACCGAGGTTATTATAAACCTAATAATCCCAGGGGGAAAAAACGATGAGGATGCGAAGGCAATCGAGAAGACCAAACCGTGAGGGTGAAATGACCTGAGATGAAAACCCTGGATAATGTCGCACTAAAGCCAGGGTTTTTGTAAAATAAATTTAATGACGATAATGAACGAGAGTGAAATATACCTCCTCGGTTGGGACGAGTCGTCCATGCTGACCCGCGACCTCAATCGCACATACTACAATTCAAGCTACATAGTGAATGACACGTACAATGATCTATGGGATTTAGCAACAGATCGTGCTGGTCTAGCTGTTGTACTATTACTATTCTCAGTGGCAACAGTATTTGGTAATTCACTGGTGATACTTGCTGTTGTGCGTGAACGTTATCTTCATACAGCGACAAATTATTTTGTCACCTCATTAGCATTTGCCGATTGCCTTGTTGGCCTAGTAGTGATGCCATTCAGTGCAATCTACGAGGTCCTTGAGAATCGTTGGCTATTCACAATGGATTGGTGCGACGTATGGCGATCACTCGATGTACTATTCTCAACAGCATCAATACTCAATCTCTGTGTCATAAGTCTCGACAGATACTGGGCAATAACTGATCCATTCACCTATCCAACAAGAATGAGTAGAAAACGCGCTGCCATACTCATAGCTATAGTGTGGGTATGCTCAAGTGCAATATCATTTCCAGCAATAGCTTGGTGGCGTGCCGTTAGAACAGAGGAAGTGCCCAAGGATAAGTGTCCATTCACCGAAAATCTTGGTTATCTCATATTCTCATCAACCATTAGCTTTTACCTACCCCTATTTGTCATGGTATTCACATACTACAGAATATATCGTGCCGCTGTTATACAAACAAGAAGTCTCAAACTTGGTACAAAACAAGTGATGATGGCGTCGGGTGAATTGGAGCTCACACTTAGAATACACAGAGGTGGTGCTACCAATACCGATGCCAGACATCTGTTCAGAACAGCATCAAGTACACCTGAAGATTTACAGGATATGGAGGAGCCATTGACTCTCCATAATAATGGATTGATGCGTATGCCATCAACGAGAATTAATAATAAACAACATCTTGGAAAGAATTTTTCATTATCACGTAAATTAGCTAAATTTGCTAAGGAAAAAAAAGCTGCTAAGACACTTGGTATTGTTATGGGAGTTTTTATTGTATGTTGGTTACCATTCTTTGTGGTTAATCTATTGTCAGGTTTCTGCACAAGATGCATTTGGAATGAGGAAATTATATCGGCCGCTGTAACGTGGCTTGGATGGATCAACAGTGGAATGAATCCAGTCATTTATGCCTGCTGGAGTAGAGATTTTCGACGGTGAGTATTATCATTATTTCTACTTCACTTGGATAAGGGATTTTTGGTTGGGGATTATGAGGACTTTAGGAGGAAAGATGAAGGGGGGAAAATGGCCACTACAAATGAGAGCCAAATGCTGGATCGAAAATTGCCTTGATTTCGAGTCATCCAGTTTTTCAGCTAAACTTTCGAGCATTTTGACCCAAAGTGATCTAATTCCATTAGGGAATGCCGGGTTTATGTGGGCTTGCCCAAAGAGAAATACGCAAATGCCTCCGTGGGATAAAATTTTTTCCCTTTCTCCTTGCGAGATGGATCAAATGAGCGCGGGATTACCGGGAAGAACGAGGTCGAATGATCCTCAGTGCGAGGATGCACGGTAGAATATACTCGAATCCCCCAAGGACAGGGCAATTCGTTTGAGTGGCTGAGCGAGGATATTCGTATTCCATACACGAATATTCATTTGTCTGCTTCATCGTTCAACCTTTCTGTCATCCGCTTATTGTCCCTCTTTCGGTTATTTTTTTTACACCTTTTTTTCCCCTTTCGTAACCGGGGGTTTTACGCGGGTAATCACCGGTATTTTGTTGGGACTCGTGTCATGATGGATGGAACTATAAATATGTGACTAATGGATCTATTGTCCTTACACTACATTAACCCTCGTTGCCATTGGAAGAAAGTCGGTGGTATAATGTGATAATGTTTGGAGGGCTGTCATCGATTGTCGGGCGAATCGATTTGGATGAAATATTTCAGCGAAAAATTTCATTGAGAATATCTGAAAGGTTAAGCTCTGAATAAGCGCATCAACACACTGCCTACATGTGTTATCATTGAATACAATGGGGCCCAATTACGTTAATTGTCTACTCATGGCGTCTATTGTTCGAATGCCTGAAAATCCAGTGAAATAGGAAATACAACGACATATTCATTCACACCTACATTTTCCATAATGTTCATTCATTTCGGGACATTAATTACGGGATTTGTATGGTTTTGGTGTATAGCTGCGGATAATTGCATCGATCCGCCTCGAACTACCTCGGCCGCGTGCGTCATTAGTCGTTGAGAATTTTTTTTTCCGAGATTTTTTGGGAATTAACAATGGACGAGTGTTGGACGCTCGTTTTTTGGTGATTTGGAATTGTATTTGGAGCGCGCCCTCTGGCGGTGGCGTCATCGCTCACACGACGCGGGCGCGTTTGATGTTTTCGCAAAGTCGTAAAAACCGTTCGGTTGCGCGGTTCGGGATAATTAAAGACGTATGACTGGTCACATGACTGGATATTTAGTGAGTTGGTTATTAACATATGAGGAATAAGACACTAAACATTGTGCGTGACCCATACAATTTTTAGTTAGTAAAATAGAAGGGGCAATATCTACCGTTGCTCATTAATAATTAGTCATTTTTTCATCAGCTTTTTTGGGAATTGGTAATGGCTGAACAGTCGTTTCGTGATTGTTTTCTTTTATTGATTTGGAATGGCAGTTGTAGCAGTTGTAGCAATCCTCTGTCGGTGGCGTCATCACGTACTTGACGCGGCAGCATCCTGTAGTTTTGCAGAGTCGTAAAAATCGTTCTCTAATAACGTTCGAGATAATTAAAGACGTGATCTTTTGCTCTTCTTACTCTATTCTTCCCCTTTTTTCTTTTATCGTCAAACATCTCAGATATCATCAGTTTCTAGTGATTCTTTTTCATGGATTGATGATAAGCGAGCGTTAAACGATCATTTTGTAATTGCTCTTTCATTGCTTCGGAATTGTAGTTAGAGCGCGTCCTTTGTCGGTGGCGTCATCTCGTCATAGTATCTCGAATATTATCAGTCATTAGTGATTTTTTAACATCATCTTTTTTATGGATTGATAGTAGACGAGCGATGGACGATCGTTTTGTAGTTGTTCTATCATCGTTTCGGGATTGTAGGTGTCGAGAGTCGTAAAAACCATTCTCCAATAATGTTTGGGATAATTAAAGATGTATGCATCGGGCATGCAGCAAGTTTGTTCTCCATATATAACGAAGACGGTACTGAAGATTGTGTGTGACTCACGCATTTTGAAGACTGTTGTTCTTCTCATTCCATTCTTCCCCCTTTTTTTTACTCTTAATCATCTCGGATATTACCAGTTATTAGTGATTTTTTTGTCAGCTCTCTGATGGATTGATAACCAACTCGTATCAAATGATCGTTTCATGATGGCTTTTTCATCGATTCAGAATTGTAGTTAGAGCGCGCCCTCTGTTGGTGGCGTCATCACTCACTCCACGCGAACGCATTCTGTATTTTTGCCGGAAGTTGTAAAAACCATTCTCCAATAATATTTGGGATAATTAAAGATGTATGCATGGAACATTTACCAAGTTTGTTGTGAATATTTAACAAAGGAGGTACTGAAGATTGTGTGCGACTCATCCAATTTTTGACGGCTCTTTGGCTCCTCTCATCTCATTCTTTCCACTTTTTTCTTTTACCGTCGAACATCCCGGAAGGATACGACACTCTTTGCTCACTGAGTTAGGAGGGGAAATGTATATCGTCGTCGAGGAAATGTTCACGGCTGCTGTACGTGCCCACGTGACCTGATTGTCTCCGTGGAAATGAGAGAAAAAAAAGGGTAAACGATGAGAGAGCTGTGTCGGTGAATTTTCTTTGATCACGATGGGAGAGAGATCAAACAATTTTCGCTCGGGACTGATTAACGGAGTGATGAGAGAGGGATTATGGGGTTCAATGCCAAGATACTTGGTGAGTTAATGCTGAATTTTTCTTCTCCATTGGGCTTGCGATAATTGAATAGTCGTTCAATGCAATCTCATCGTGATATGGAAGGATTAATGTGCTCGGTGGGAATTAAGCTGCCGGGCAAATGAATGTAAACTGGGGGGATAATTAATTACGAGAGTATTCCCGAACGTTGAGGTGAATTTATAATTAATTAACTAGCAACATGGGAGGAGTTTGATTCTCGTGCTTCTGGACAGAATCGACATTGCGGAAATTCCTCGGTATATTCGGGTTGTTTCGGATACATAAATACCAGTGGTGGTTCTGAGATACTCGAGTACTTGGGATGCTATCAAGATTTGTGGGTTGAATGTTCGGAATTTTGCCGAGTGATGCCCGGAAACCACAAAATCTTGATTCGAGGATCATAAAGTTGACGATAGAGGCAAATCAATCGGATAGTCATTCCGCGAATGGATTAATAATCCTCTTAGACTGGGGTAGGTCTATAGACCCTGCAGTTTACGATTGCCGCAGCGCCATTCTAATGACCTTCTTGAGTAGGCAATACTCGGGAAATAAAAGGGTCTGCGTTGTTGATCTTCATAAATGTCAGGGTGGGAATAGATATTCAGGAAATACTCAAATAACATCTCCCCGCTTGGCGATTCAAAAGCCCTAGGTGGGCTTTGCTCGGCGGACTGAGGGGTTTACCTTCTTGGTTATATCAGACGAGGCTGGAGGGGTTGGAATTCTAATATCATACTTATCTTCATGATTAAAATAAACATATTTATTGTAGCCCCGATGAGATAAGAAGGGGAATTTATTTTTCTGCACTTTATTTCGCTTCGGGATACTCTGATCTTTAGAATCAACTTCAGCTGATGGAGTTCAGTGACAATAGAATTTTAGGGGGGAGGGCTTTCGTCGAAATGGCGGGGTCAAGGATCCTTTAATGAGATTCTTGGAGCCTTCAAATCGGCTTACGCTCTCCCATTCTCATCCTCTTTTACATTGTCACAGAATGAATCTGGAAATTTCAAGGGAATCATTTTGAAATGGGTGGAAGGAACTAGTTCATGTGAAATTGAACTGGATTTTTTTTATTTTCATAAATTGTTAGGAAATAATTTCTCATTTTGTCATTAAATTACGAATTTTCAATGGCGAAATTCAAGTGGAGCTGTCAATTGATAAAAATTGAGTGTTTGAAATTCAAAAAAATTCCAACAGTTTATTGGAAAGACTATGCGTAATACATACGTAAAGCTTTCTATTCAGGCAATCAATTAAAAAATATTGAAATAGAGGTCTTGTACTCGCTCTTAGTCTCAATACAAATAAATTCAACAGTTATCTTCTCTTGTGATGTAACAGTCAGATAAACCAATTAGTCTGCACTCGTTACATCACCTTCTGGGTCAAAACGATCTCCAGCACGAGTATCTGCAGGTGCGAACGCTGGAGAGGAGTTGATTGGAGCAACTCCAATCGCTAATTGATTAAGTAACCTACGTGTTGTTTGTTTACGGATAATGAGCATCGGGTGTGTAAGATATTGCATGGAGAAAAAAGTTGGAGGAAAATTCGGGTTCATTTCTAGGTCTTTTTCGCCCAGCGGAGGAAAAAATCCGAGACGAATAGTGAATTTTTCGTCGCTGTTAATTCAGTACAGAAGCGTTTTCAATTAATGATATCTTGGCATCTAAGGCCGGTAGCGAAATTTTTGTCATGACCTTTTTTATAGAGCGAATTGCGAGGTACGAAAAAGGTCTTGACGAAAATTTCGCTATCTCCCTTAGATTCGGAGATATTCTTAAAAAATCGGTTAGAGTTGAGTCGACTTGATCGTTTGATTCACATCAAGTTTATTTAAAGTAAAATTTGCCGACATTTTTCAGGTAGTTTTCATCCAATTTTTATATCTGTGTGATCGATCTGTATCTCAATGAGAGTAACCTAAAGCTCGTTGGCACACACTCAATAGTTATTTGTCGCATTTATTTTTACCCTCTTCGCGTCTATTTACTCTTTTTCTCGAATCCTGGAGAAGATGAGGCAACTGGACCGGTAGCTTGCCAATTAGAAAGACGCTGGGGGGAACTGCAAGTGAGTCTCAGCGAATTGCTTCGAATGAATAAACCATAAAGCGCACTTCCGAGCTACGTGAAAACTCACTTATTTTCGAGCGACCGAAATAGGCGATATCCAGGGCTTCGGCATCACTGGACATGATGTGTTTCTTTCACATTTTAATTAACTTTTTATCAAAAT